AGACCTTATGGGGGGACCCACCCTATGTTTCTGTCCCACTTTCTCCATCCTTCCTCCTCCAGTGAAGATCCCAGCCAGTGAAGATCCCAAGCGTTCTCTCTCAGTCCCCCGGCTCCACTCTGTCCCAGCCAGGCCAGAAGACACAGCAGCCAGAAGACACAGCAGCCCCCAGCTGTATCAGGTGATTAATGAACTCCTAGGCCTTTGGGCTATTTTGGGGCCTGGAAGTCATGCCTATGATTGAGAACTGGCCCTGCCAGGCTCTAGCCATCTGTCACCGAAGACAGGCCCAAGCAGTGGGCTTGGGGGACGCAGGCTCCCCAAGCAACTTCTAAGTATGACTCTGGCTCAGCCCCATCTCCCCTCCTTCTGAGGAGCACTAGGCAAGGAGAGGCCTGCCTGTACTCCAGGAGCTCAAGTGGATACCATGGAGAGAGCCAGAGAACTACAGGTTCCAGAACGCCCCAGGGTTAGGTTGTTTTGGCCTCCCTGGGGCCAGATGGGGAGGGGATGCTGGGTTTTCCAGGCAGCCCTAAGGAAACCCAAGTGCAAGCGTGTACAAATAGCAGTGTCAACATAAGATGCCCATAATCCCTATATCATAAATTCCATAAATTCCACAACAAAGTACAATCTTGTGAAGGCTGCAAAACTTATGTAGTGTGACTCAGGAACCCCCAACCCAACTCTAAAGCATAAAACTCAAGTACATGCAGTTCCACTGTCACAGAATCCCAGGAACATGCAACCGCAGGGACACAGCCCCAGCGTTCACAACCCCACTGACGCATGCACAACGCCCTCAGTACGACTCAGAGATAGACAAAACAGTGACATGTAATCCTTATGCCACACAAGTTTACCCACCCGTCATGCATGAGCTCACTAGCCGAGTTCATGTTGGTCCAGTCCTACCTGAGATTTTTTTCCTCTGGACACTCACCCCAGTCATCTTAAGATCCCATTAAACTAAACAATCCAGTAAAGGGCTGTGCATTCCCTCTGCTCTGCTGCAAGCTTCTTCCTTTTATCCCTGTGAGGTGTCTTGCCTCCTACATTCACCTGCTTGAAGCCCCCTCCTCTGCCCTCAATGAGAAGCCCTGCCCCCGCCTCCACCATGGGGAGGGACCATGATGCCCCTCTCCTTTCCTCCTTGACGACCCCTATCTCCTCCACCTCCTCGGTAAGGAACCCTATCCCTTCTCCACTCTGTCAGGGGTACTGCCCTTTAACCCCCCCTTTTTTGGAGGGATCCTGCTCCCTCCATCTGTGAGGGGCCCTTTCCCTCCCCACCCTTGTAAAGCTCCATCCACTTCGCTCACTTTTTGAGGGGTCCAGCCCCTTCCTCCCTTCCTCATACCTGGCGACAGCGACCCAGTCACCAGCTGGTAGAGGGATCGTGCTGCCTGCCCCAATGGGCTCCTGCACCTGCGGGGGCAACGGCTCATGATTCCGCTGAGAGCACAGTGGCCAAGCTCCGCCCCCAAGGCCGGGGGTGGTCGGGTCTCCGCCTTGTGGGCCCTGCGTGGGCGGCGCGGGAGGGCCGGACCCGCAGGACCAGGACCTCAGACAGCAGAGCCTCATTCCACTCCAGGTCTTCTCCGGACCGCACGAGGGGAACTCGCCCTAGCCCTGGCCCCAGCATCTAGAGCACTGGGCCCCAAAGTTCCTAGACTGAGGCTGAAGCGGAGGGGGCACGGGAGCGGGGGGGAGGGGGGCGGGACAGCGCGGACGCTCTTCATAGCCTTCTTTGGGAACATTTTCTGGATTTCTGCTGGGGAAGAGCCGCACCCACGGGTTTTGAAAAAGGAGTTGTGCGTAAATGAACCTTATCTTTTACTGCCCTTCTTCAGCCCTTCCTCTGCTTGTCACACCCTCCTCTTTGCATTTTGGCAGAGATATGAAGGGGTAAGAGGTGAGAGGACACAGTTGTCATGGCAACTTCCCACACTTCCATACTTCCTGGACCAATGGGGGAGAGAGCAGAAGGGAGGAGGAGGAACTGGCCAGTGTATTGGGCAAAGAAGAGGTGGCAGGGATGTGCCTCTACTGATCTTTCTCCTGGCTCCAAATTCCTTTCTCTCAGAGCTGTTTGTTTTGTGTCCCTCTGTCCCAGCAGGTTCACAGATTCTCCCATCATACACTGACTGCCAGCCAAATGCATTAGGAGAAGCCTCCCTTTTTATAAATATATATATATTTTTATATAAAAATATATTTTTTATTGATTTCAGAGAGGCAGGGGGAGAGAGAGCTACAAACATCAATGATGAGAGAGAATCATTGATCGGCTGCCTCCTGCTCCTGGGGATGGAGCCTGCAACCCTGGCATGTGCCCTGACGGGGAATTGAACAGTGACCTCCTGGTTCGTAGGTCCACGCTCAACCACTGAGTCACCCCGGCAGGGGGAGAAGCCCCCCTCTTCTCAGTCCGAGCCCTGACGTCTTTCCTGAATTCACTCCCATCCGGCTTTACCCAAAGTAAACCCTTTTCATTACCCACTATGCTTTCAAACTGCTGGGACAGAAGGGACATACTTCCACTCCTCTCGACTGGCATCCCGTATTTTTGTTTGAAAATTTTACGTTTACAAGAGTCGAAGCCGAACTCCATGCAAATCTTGCCCTTTGATTTGGTAACATCCCCATACAGAATCAGCTCCGCAAGCATAGCTCCTTCAATACCACACGGGGGCGCCCCAGTCCGGGGAACAATATTTATGGCCATTAGGACGTGATTCCGGAGATCCCAGGCCCAGCGACTGGAGCTCTGGCCTTGGCCAGCCAGGTGCATATTCTCTCATCTTTTCCAGTCCTTCCTTTGTTTCCAGCTAGGAAAGGACCGCCATTGATCATTGATTTTTCCCACCCCGCCTCACTGCCAAGCGGCCCTGTCAGGCTGGTAAGACCAGGGGTGTTAGATGCGGGGCGGGGTGACTCTCGCCCTCCCCCCTCCCCCCAAAGTCTTCTCGGTCTGCACAGGGAAGGTACTTTGGGAGGACCCGGCCGCACCTCTCCCTGAACGTTCTTCAGTACCGTGGACAACACTCCCCTTCAGGTTTCTGCTCAGGCATCTCTGAGCGCCCAGCGCTTTAACACAGGGGGCATTCCAACCCCATTTGTCTTCCGCTATAAAATAAGGCCTCCTTCGCAAGGAGAGATCCTGGTAGTCCTATTTCTCTTTCACAGCCGTGTGTAGAACTTTCTACAGAGAGGATGCTCATGACACAGAACATGATTCATGATGCTTGCCAACACTTGACCTTTCTCTTGCCCTTGGGAGGCCGGCAGGCAGGAGGTAGTATTCCCCATTTCACAGATGAGAAAAGTGAGGCTCAGAGAGAGAAAAAGTCACACGTACCTGGTATTCACATTTCCATTCCTGCACCTTCTAATAAAAGTGCTTCCCCACCGTCACCCAATCAATCTCTGATTCACATAGCCAAGTGAGGAGGGGATGCTTCCATTATAGGGAGAATCAATTAAAACAGGAAGCAACACTGACTAATGTGGTGCTAATAAGGGCCCTGGGCCCTTACTACGCTCAAGGATCCTGAGATGAGGACAGCACAGAGCAGAAATAGACAGCGGGACCTTTGGATTCCATCCAGATCGGAGGCACATCTAGGGCACATCTGGGGCCTGCCTGAGTGGGCTTCCCTCCTGGGAGTCTGAGCATAGGAACTAGGACCTCCACAGGCTTAGTGAGTCGGAAAGACACATTCTAGTCCTCTACCCCATCCCCAAGTCTTAACCTCATTTCCATCAGGACAGACAAGGATCACAGCCTCCTTCCACCTCCCCAACTTGTTTCACACACAGAGGAGACACTCTCCCTCCTCATTTTCTGTTAGAGGGTTTGAGCAGGCTGCACAATGAGAGACAGAAACGCACATGTACATGGAAATGTACACAAGGTGTCACCCACACAAACACATGGATCTGCCTCCCAAACCCAGGAATGTGCACAGGCACAGAGGTACTGGTCTCACATACCTCCCAATGTGGGAGAGAGAGGGTATCTGGGCAGCAAAGTGGTTTGGGGGACAGTTATAATGGGAGGCCACACGGCACCTCCCAGGCCTAGAGCTTCTTTCTATCTCTGGGTCTAGAGGGAGGCAAGAGAGTGTGTTTCCCTTTGGGTTTGGGTGAAGTTCTGGGAGGGCTGTTGGGTATCGAATGAGCTTCAGTTATAAGAATGATCTCTGAGTACTTTATGGGGGGCGGGTCCTGACCCAGCACTAACCAAAGCCCAGGGACAGGGGCCAGATGCTGCTCCTAGGAGCCAGGCTGGGTAGCTAGGACACTAGAGTCCCTCCTGGGTCCACCTGGGGGAAACAGTAATGTGTACTGAAGATCTCCTTGTGCGCCAGGAAGCTAGAGAAGCAGCCAGGGTAAGACGTGTCATAGACACTCACAAAGCCCCGCTGAAGACACCACCACATGAAAATGCACAATCAGCATCAAATGCCACTATAACCCACATAGTCTCACAATCACAAAACACAACACAACCCACTTTAACAAAGGCTTGCCCCAGGAAGTTCACAACATCTTACAAAGAGACATACCACCATAAAGTGAAGCCCTGACACTAATGGTAGTCACATGCGACTTCATACAGGATCACACACTCAAAGCACAGAGTTGCACATAGAACAGAAACACATGGTCAAACAACTTCATTAGTACACTCAGGGTACTACATAACCTCACTCAAACATCTGACGAGATCATACAATCCCACAGCCACATACAATCATGCTCACCCTGGCTGTCACCAAGCCCAGGGCACATGGCAACCGGCTGTGGGAGGCGCACATATATATATACACACAGTGGACCCAAGGCTTTGAACCTGTGTCCAGGGGCCCAGAACAGCCGGGAGGTGCCTGGAAATGGGGCAGAGTGTGGGTAAGGGCTTGGCAGGGTCAGAGGCTTAAGGGTTTGGAGGAATGGAATCTACCCTCCCTCCCACGAGCCCCGGTCCACCGACTCACCAGTGAGCTGGTCATAGGATCCGTCCAGGTCTCGGGAATCGGACAAACTCTCCTTGCGACCCTGGCCCCGCATGGCCCCCGGCGACCCCCTCCCGTCCCGCCTGGGCTGTGGGAGGGGGCGCCGGGTGGCTGGGATAGGGCGCTCACAAGCGCCCCCTGGCGGCGAAGGGGCTGGGGGCCAGGAGAGTCTGGGCTAGGATTGAGTCTGGGGACCGGGAGGGGTCTAGAGCCCACCCAGGGGTCCCGGGGCAGGAGCGGAAGGGAGGCTTGGGCAGTAGGTGAGCGCAGAGCCTGAGGCAGAGCAGAGCTGAGCGCGGAGCCAGAGCCAGCCGCCTCTTTCCTCCCGCCCCCTCCCCGCGGCTGTCACCACTGCCTCCCCCCTTTGGCGCTGCCGGGATTGGCTCCCCCTACCCCCGCCCCCTCCTCTTTGCAGCTCCGGGAGGCACCCGGTGAAAGGGTGAGCTGGGAAGTGCGGGGAGAGAGACTGGCTCTCCAACCACACTACCCCCTAAACCCGAAGCCCTGGGTTTTGGAGGTGGAAGAGAGAGAGCAGGGCCAGAAAGGCCCCTGTGAGGAAACTCCGCCCCCAATTCTCAGGCACTTTCCCCTCTAAGCCAGCACAGGTCGGGTAAGTCTCCGTCTCTGTGTAGCCCCTATTTTTCTCTGTTGCTCTCTTCCTATGTATGGGTCTCTGTGCCTCCCTCCTCCCCTGCCCCCGCCAGTGCCCACCCTGCTTGAAGGGGGTGGGGACTCAGAGGGGTCAGCGCCTCTAATACAGACTTTTCTCGGGCCAGTGGGCGACAACTCCCTTCTCTCTCAGCAGTACCCCAACCCTCACCCACTCCAGGACTTTGGCCCATTCATTCTCAGGGAGCCTTCTTTCCTGATCTAATGACCCCTGTTGGCCAACTGGGGAGAAAAGGAAAAGTGAAACAGGTCAGCTTCTCAAGACTTTCTTGCTCTTCTGTTTCTTCAACTTGCCTGGCCTTCTCTCTCCTATCACCTGCTCTGTCCTAGATTCCTCGTTTATCCATAGATTTTTTTTGGGGGGAGGGGTGGCAACTGAGAGTTTGAGGGTCCAGGTGAAGATCCACAGTGGGGAATAAATGCTCTTGATGTGAGCCCCACTCCCTCCCCACGAACCCTCCCCATGAGGATGGAGGGGAGGGCAGTGTCTGGTGGGTCTGGATGGTATAGTGGCAGTGTCCCGGGTAATCCTGCCTGCCCAATGGCTCCTTTGGAGGAGTGACCTGTTTAGACCGAAAGCTTCTGCTAACATGACCCCAACACATTTAATTCCTTTCATTGGATTTAATTTCCAAGCATTTGATTCAATTAACCCAGCAGGAATTATGGTGGGAGACTAGGCATGAAAAGGGGACAAGCAGCCAAAGGAAAGACTGTCTTTGGGAGCAATGTCCTGGTCCTGGCTCTGGAGGGCCCTCCTAGACCTGGCCCGGACACTGGGGAACGGAGAGAGCATGGCAGATGCTTTGGAGTTCAGTTCTAGGAGGGGATGGGATTCCTGTTTAGAGTCCTTAGCATAAGGTGTATAGGCCAGAGATGGAAGGGCCTTGACATTGGAATCCTTTATGACTTCATGCCCTTGACCTGCACTTATTCACTTCATAGGAAGGACTAGCAGGGGTCCATAATGGGCTGGCTGCCCTCCTCAATACTGAGTTTGGAGATAAGGGAACTTTCTTCTCCCTCTTTCCACCCAAAGGACTTCTCTGAACTGAATTTGCTTCCTCTGTGGCCAGGAGACTCCAGAGGAGAGTCTATAAGGATAGGCAGGGCCCCCATAGCCAAATGGGACCAGTACCTGGAAATTACCTTAACACTGTATTTGAGAAATGAGTTCTGGGTAAGAGATTAAGGAAAAAGAAAGACACTAAAAAGACTGTCCCATACAAATCAATTTTTAATCATTTCAGCTTGCCACCAGCTTCCAGCTCCAGTTCCACTAAATGTCCCAGGTTGAGCTATCCATCTAGTGAGCAGAGGTGACCCAGCTGCTGATCTCTTAATCTACACCTGTCCATGGCAGCATGTTGGTGGATTCTCTGGTACTGGATTCATAGTGCATATCTGCTCAGTGCTGGAGGTAGAACCCTGGTGCCAAGCGGGGGTTGGGGGGCAAGTATCCCTCCCTGGAAGTTTAAGTGGAACAGTAGCCAGGGAGGTCCCTGCACTCACTCCTAGACTCTTCCTGTGCTGCTTGCTCCCTGCCATCCTGAGGCTTTAGGAAGTGTTTTAGAAAGGGAGGATCTCAGAGCAGCAGCTACTTAGGAGGCAGCTGTTGGGTAGGGAAAGCCTACAGTAGTCCTATGGAGGCCATTCAGAGGAGGAATCACAGGCCAAATTCTCAAATGTCAGGAGTCTTGCCTGTGGCTTCACCCACAATGTGGGTAGACGGGATGGCCTCTCCATGATGCTCACCTGGCCTCTTTCAGATGGAGGGTACTATGCCCCCAGCAGGTTCTCTCCATCCTAGGCACCAAACCACACTAGAAACAGATCCCTCCCCAGAGGAAATTCTCAGGCAGGCTGGATGTAAACAACAGCCGGGTGAGGGGGTGGAACACGTGGAGGGAGCTAGGCAGAGGCAGGCAAGGCTCCCAGAGGAGGGGTGGCTAGGGAGGTGGGAGGCTGCTGGAAAAGGAACCAGCTAAGTAGGCACCTGAGGGCTCCAGAAAACCTGTCAATGTTTATTTCACACAAACATCCTAAAGACAGTTTAAACCAGATTTGAAAATGAGAAGCTAAAGTTGTGACCCTAAAGTGTGATGAGTCAATGGGTGGAAGGCAGGGGAAAGGTAACAGGTACTCCTGGTACCAAGAATCAAATCCAGAAAGTGATGGCTAGACAGCAGAGCACTGGGTGGATTCTAATCTTCAGTCTCCCAGATAAGTCAGCTTTGGATTTAGAAAACAGAAAAAGATACTCCATTCCTACCCTACCCTAAGCCTGAGCTAAGAGTCCTAATGACTGGACAGAGTGATAGCGGGGGCAGGGGAGACAGATTTCAAGTCCAGCTGAGCCCCAGGCCAAAGGAAGCAGAATTAGTTCCACCTACATCTGAGAGTTGTCTGTTTTCAGAAGCCTTGGAGAGCCCTTGATCCTCAGGGTACTGGCATCACCCTAAGGCTTGCCCCAACAGCGCCTGAAAATTAGTCAGTAGCCTCAACTTGTAATTGCGATTAGAAATGTGAAGGGATGTCCAGGGAGCCTTCTCTCTGTGCCCACCCACCCCTCCCCAAATAAGATTATCCCTGGCTTGCCCCTCCTGGCCTCTGCTGTCCAAGCTCCCCTGAAGCATGGCCTTCACCGAGAGAACTGGGTGTCTGTGTTGTTCTCCAACCTTGGGGACAGCCCCCTCTCCTCTGACTCCCCCTCCAGCCCAAAAGCCTCATGGGTAAGGGCAGTCAGCGGCTGGTCTCAGGAGATAGTGGAGAACTCCTTGAGCAGGACTTCCTGGCTGAGTGTGTGGAAGGCCAGGTTTCTCCGGACGTTGGTGCTAATGGATCGAACCTGGGAAAGGGTGGGGGGAGATAGGAAGAACACAGGCAGAGAGAAAAGAAGAGAGAGTTGTTACAAACAGTAGAGGGCAGTGTTTGAGGCACAAGGCCAAGATTCAGTGCTAGAAGTTTCTCTCAGGAAATAAACCCTTAATAGCTATCATTCCGGCAGGCAAATGAGCAAACAGCTCGGTGATGGGGGAAGAAAAGGAGACTTGGAGACAGAAGCTCTCGTGGATGTGAGAGGAGGATCTGAGCACCTAAAGTGGTGGAAGCAGCACAGACAAGTAAGGACAGGGCAGGCCTTTGTCCTTGCTGGGCCTTGCACAGGGTGATGGAGGAGAAACTGATGCTAGTGGGCTCACACTCTGGAACTACCCCCTTTTGGATGCATTTCTAGTCTTCTCACTCTCCCTTTGTATTTATCTACCTTTTTGGGTTGGGAAGAACGTTTAGAGATGCAGGCCTTATCTGGCATAGATGATAGGAGTATGATCCATGGAGGACAATGACCAGGATCAGGCCATATGGCTTGTGAGTCCCAGGCCTGGGGCAGGACCCAGGTTTCTTAATTCCTAGTCCAGCCCTCTTTCCATACCACAAATATGCGCTCCTACTTTAGAGGAAGTCTGGAGTGTGCCCTTGCTGTGTCCCTCCTGCTCACCTCACATGTTTTCTACCCACAGACCCAGAACCTTGCAGGAAGCGGTGCCTGTGTCAGCAGGGAAAAGATCTATGGAAAAGGGGTCAGAGGGCCAAGCTGACTCTGGAAGGAGATCCATTCATAGGAAATAGATGTGAATGTTGTATGAGAGAAAAGGGGAGGAGGGAGGAAGGAGAAAAAGAGTACGTAACTCTGCTGGGCCCCAAAGTCCAGGGAGTTTTCCTTTAATTTCTGCTTTGCTATGGGAAAGATAATGTAGTCGTCAGGCTGGGAGCAGAGGAAAAGGAGGCATGGCAAACAGCAAGCAGCTCCAGCTCATTAGCTCCAACCCTACCAGACTGTCTCTGCTCCCCTATGCCAGAGGTACAGGTATAAGGAGAGCTGAGTAAGGTAGCAGCTAGTGTCAAAGAGCCTTGAGATAGAGCTCCTCTAATGTTCTCCTCCACAGCCATCTCCATCTCCCAATAAGTTAGTCTCTTTGTTAAGTTGTTCCCAGTAATTCTCCATCACCTTAAAGACTTGCCAACTACCCCATAAAAATACTCTATTTCCTTACACTAAAGGCTTCCCTTTTTACCAGCTAACTCAACCCAGAGTATGTCTTCCTCACCCTGGGGAAGTCCCAAATCCTGGAAATGTCAAGTTAGGGTCAGAGTTGGGCTGTGTTTAGTTCAAGACAGATGAGCTAAATAAAATCCAGAATCTTCATCTTGGACTCAGTCAGCAGAGAGTAGTAAAAGCTGGGCTGATGCAATTTCTGCACAGCAGTGGGAGGTCTGAGGACATGGGAAGTAGGTACAGAGGCCTGTGTGTCCTGGTCTCGGCCCTCAGCCGGGATGTTCATGTGCAACCAGGCAGGTGGAGTGGCAGGACTACAGGGAGGTTGAACTTTTCCTGAGAGTAGCTCTGAGCAGTGTGCAGGAGGGGGACCATCAACAGGGAGAGGCCAGTTCTGTGAAGAGATGCTGACTGGGAGGTGGAGTAGGAGGCAGAGCAAATGCTCACTGCTCCAGGTGGCCATGGATGGAGGCTGTAGGAAGCTGAGTGATTGGAAAGTGGGAGTAGGGACAGAGAGTGAAGACTAGAGAACTCGGTTTGGGGGGTGGGGGAGGGACACTCAGACCAGGAACCAGTTAGGAATTTAGAAAGTGACTGCATAAGGAGAAGAATCAATTATTCTTATTAGTTGCTCTCTAGACAGGATAAGGAGTAATGAGCCAGCGCTGCCACTGGGAACACATGTCAAACCCCAGGCCCAGCTGGAGCTGTGCAAGGGCTGTCTCTACGGCTGCAGAAGAGAGGTGGGCAGTGCTGTCTCAGGCTTCTCACCCTTCCCAACCTGGCACCAGTACCCTGGGGAATGTCTTCTCTCACTGCCTGGTCCTGCGCTGCTTTGGGAGAGAAGTTTGCACACTTCATCAGCCTTTGGAATACTACAGTTG